GTTTGGTCAAAGGGCCAAGACGGAGTTAGGGAAGAGTGGTTCTGAAGCAGGACTCGGGAAAATGGGAAGTCAGTGCCCCAGTCTTTCCCTCACTACATTTTTCAAAGCACTTCCACATCATTTATATCGCTGCATGAATACCTGTGATTAGAGGAGAGATGCTGTATTCACTGGATAAATGAGGACACTGAAGGCCAGAGAGAAAGCTGCCAGAGGCAGCGGGTGACAAAGCAAGTGGGACTAGAACTTGGGCCAATGGAGGGGCAGATGGGAGGGAGCACAGAATAGCCCAGAGTGCTGACCAGCGGCCTCACCTCCTACTGACTCTCTGGACAGGGTCCTGCAGGGGGCGCTTCAGAGCACAACTTTACTTTCTGTAGTAATCTCTTGGTCCCTGTGCCCCGTGGTTATGCCTTACTCTATTAATAGGGCCAGTGCTGGCAGGAGGACTCCACACTCCTGGACACCTAATGACTAGGTTTGGACTTGCTCACTAGCTGAGATGTCTGACTCCACGTGGGATGGCTAAGGAGGCCCCTCCTGCACCCTTCTCCATTCTTTGGTCTGATGGAGCAGCCCTCTCTGCTCAACATTCCTGGTTTCTGTGATCACCACCCAAACCCTAAGCCCCTTTGTTCTTCTGTTCTCCCCCACACTCTTATCACTACGTTCTGAATTTTCCCCCTTGGCCCAGCACCCCTTTCCTCCCACACTGCACGAAATGTTCGGTTGTCCTCTCTGAAAGTCAATCCAGCTGCATGACAAGCACATGTCCTGATTGCCTTTGGCTGCTCTGTCATTGACAATTCCTTGCATCTCTTGGCTATAACTGTAACCTGGATTTCCCTTGAGGGCATTGCTTCCCTTATGTCTCAAGTAGAGAATATACATTCTCGCAAACTCCGAAGTACTTCAGGTGGGAATGTGGTCTATAGATTCTCCTTCCTCCTTCCAATTGCTTGGAAATGATTCTTTCTCTCTTCCTATTAGAACATCTCTTGCTCCTTTGAAACGTGTGCTACTCACCCCCACTGCCAGTTCCCTGGCACTGCCACCTTCAGATCTATCAAAGATTTTCAATGAAAACTTTCACACTTCTCCTAAAGTCTTACACTTGGGTTCATCATCCTGACTGACCTCAATGTCCATTTAAATGGCCTGATTTAATTCTATGACCTCTGCTTTTCCTGACTTCTTGTTGTTGTTACTTTAAGGAAGTCTTCTGTATTTTTAAAAGTTTTAATTCATATGTGCATATTTATAGGATACAGTGTGATTTTTCTCTACATGTGCACATTGAGCAATAGTCAAATCAGGGTATTTAGCAGATCTGTCACCTCGGCACTTAGCATTTCCTTGTAGTGAGAAAACTCTTTCCTTTAGTTATTGTGAAATTTTCTCACATATTCTGAACATTAACTCTCTTTGTTATACACAAAGTTTGGATTTTGTCACCAAAGTCCATCACCTACTTTCTAGTCCTTTTCATTACCCAAGAATTATCCCATTTCTCAAATCAGTGATTCAGACATGCTGTTCTGACCACTACCTCCTGTCCTTAGAGTATAATCACTCAACTGCTCTCACTTCACTGGGGCCTCACGCCCACTCTTTTTTTTTCCTTTCAATACAGGGTCTCACTTTGTCACCCAGGCTGGAGTACAGTGGTACCATCTCGGCTCACTCTAGCCTCAACCTCCGGAGCTCAAGTGATCCTCCCACCTCAGCCCTCCTGGTAGCTGGGTCTGTAGGCCCTGGGTCACCACACCTGGCTAATTTTTGTAGTTAGTAGACATGGGGTTTCACCATGTTTCCTAGGCTGGTCTCAAACTCCTGAGCTCCAGCAGTCTGCCTGCCTCTGTCTCCCAAAGTGCTGGGATTACAGGCATGAGCCACCACACCCAGCCTAGCCCACTGACTCTTTTCCTTTATTTTACTCTTCTGAAGAGAAAAACCCAACCTGGTTGATTCCAAGTATTTGCCTTCCCTGTGATGCTGAATGCTGCTAGACAAAATCCCATACAACCTAAAAATTTTCACAGGACCTGGAAGATTGAAACTAAATTAGTTATGTAAGCTTTATACTCTATCCTAAATAATATCCATAATACTCAATACCTATGAGAATTTTCATAGAAATACTGTGTATTAGAATAGAGAAATTAAAATAATCTAAAAGCTTTTAAATAAAGGTAAGTTATACAGCCACACTGTACAATGTGAAAAAACATTTACAAATACAAAAACTAAATAGACGTAGATATTAGAGGTGATACTGTGGCAATCGAAGATGGGGGTGGGTGAGTTATTAACACTGATAGTTGCTAGCAGCTTAGGTTTTTCTGCCTATCTAGATGGAACTGAAAAACTATGTAGTATCACAGAAATGGCAAGGTCTCTAGAATCCGGGTTTGTTTTTTTATTTTTATTTTTATTTTTATTTATTTATTTATTTATTTTTTTGAGACAGAGTTTCGCTCTTGTTACCCACGCTGGAGTGCAATGGCACGATCTCGGCTCACCGCAACCTCCGCCTCCCGGGTTCAGGCAATTCTCCTGCCTCAGCCTCCTGAGTAGCTGGGATTACAGGCACGCGCCAGGATGCCCAGCTAATTTTTTGTAGTTTTAGTAGAGACGGGGTTTCACCATGTTGACCAGGATGGTCTCGATCTCTTGACCTCGTGATCCACCCGCCTCGGCCTCCCACAGTGCTGGGATTACAGGCTTGAGCCACCGCGCCCGGCCTGTTTTTTTTATTTTTTTTTAATTAAAGTTTATCTTAACAAATTGAAACCCTGGAAATATGTTTTGCCATGGTTTCGAGTCCAAAATTTAAATTACTTAGTGTGGAAAACTACAGGTAACCATTTAAATTGGTTCTAGGACAGTGTCAATGCAGGTGTTAGGATGCAAAGTGTATAATTCTGTAGGAGTATGACCATAACCTAGGACACAGAACTTCCCACAGGAAAGCCCCACTGACGATGAGTTCCCAATCCAAAATTGCAAAACAGAGGGGTACACAAGTCACATGAGGGATTGTCAGCAGATACACAAGAACAGATTTATGCATAACTCACCAAGATTTTTATGTAAGGCAAATGTAAGGATTTATAGTTTAAAAAAAACAAGGTTCTAAAGAACAGATAGCAAAAAAAAACCAGAATGAAAATTACTGTAATTGAGATAATAAAATCTAATGGACAGGATAAACTAAAGACTAGATACAACTTTCTGATGCCAGAATTAAACAAAGATCACTGAAATACTAACTTAGTGAACAGGATACACTTGACATTAAATAGCAAATTAAAGAGAGACAAAGAGAATACATTTGAGGAAATTATCAAGAGATAGCAGGAAGAGACAAAATAAATAAATAAATGGTTAAGAGGTATGTAGAATAGAATATAAAAGTTTATCATATGTCCATACAGAGTACAAACATGAGAAACTAGAAAATGAAGAAGATGAAGCACTTAAAGTGATACTGGCTGAGTTCACTTAGAAATAAAAGAACTCATCTTCAGATTCAGGACACACAAGGATAGCAGAAAACATAAGAAATTCACATCTAGACAAAACAGTGCAGCTGTCAAACACTAAAGACAAAGAGCAGAACCAATAAAATAGGAAGATTATTTATTAAAATTAAACTAGAAGCAAACTTCGTGAAAAAAAAAAACACAAAAGACAAAAGTGAGTGGAATCATATCTTGAAAGTGTAGAGAGGAATGAACTGCCAATCTAGAATTTTATGCCCAAATTATCATTCAGAATTGAGTGCTCAGTAAAGACTTGTTCATTACTAAAGACCAGGTGCTAAACAAAGACAGGATTTACTACTAATAAACCCTCATTAGAACAATCAAAGAATGAGAAGAAGAAATTTGATCCCCGGAGGATGAAAATGCAAGAAGCAAGGCTAGAGACCAAGGGATTGAGCTCAGATTGGTAAATAGGAAGCCCCACTCAGAGTGTCAACAAAACTTGTGGCACGGTGCATGCACACTGCTACCAGTAAGTCTAAGAAGACAATGGAAGAACACAGGAACCAGGAAAAGAAGCCACTTTCCTCTGCAGTGAAACTGTTTCCCTTACTGACATAGTATAGCATGGCATTGTATCAGCTGGTAAAAGAGAAATACAATACACAGGATCCATAAACATGACAACCAAGCTGAGTTTGGGAGCTGAGAGGCAGTAAATTCATAACTGGCACAGCAATGGGTAAAGAAAGAAAGTGGTAAACGTAAGTAAATCTGAATAAGCATCTTAGGAGTGTAATAATGGTGATAACCAACTTGGGCAGTAGAAAAACTGTGGTGAAAATAAAATGCTGGACAATAGTAACAAGAAAGAGGAGGAGGACCAAGAGACCCCTCATCCCTTTCACCACATAAGGACACAGCAAGAGCATACCATCTATGGTTGTGTAATAACTTACCTAAACCCTTATTTATTTAGGAGCCATAACGTGGTTCCTGTCTCACCAGACACTGAATCTGGCAGTGCCTTTACTTGAACTTCCAGCCCTCCAGAATTCTGAGAAATGAATTTCTGTTATTTGTAAGGAGCTTGCTTTATTACATTTTGTTAAAGCAGGTCAAACAGCCTAAGACATAATGTAAATTACGTTAATTGATTCCCAAATATTAATTCAACTTTAAAGTCCCACAGTAACCCATCATCATCCTAATGTATTAGCCTTTCTATGAACTACCCTGGCTTACATTAGCAAATATGTTTAGGACTTTTACATCTGTGTTCATAATTCATACTGGCCTATAGTTTACCCTTCTAATAATGTTCTTGTTAGGTTTTGGTGTTAAGGTTGTTATGGCTTTTAAAAAAATAATTGGACAGAGGTCCACATAGTAAGGGAGTAAGGTCTCCTATAAACAACCAACAAGGAAATGGGTCTTCTCATCCATGGCCATGGGATAAGGCATCTTGGAAGTTGATTCACTTATAGCAAACTGTGAGATATTTTCAAAGTATTTAAGTTTTTTTTTTTTTTTTTTTTTTTTGAGACTGTTTTTTTTTTTTTTTTTTTTTGAGAAAAAATTTGCTCAGTGGCCCAAGCTGGAGTGCAGTAGTGCGATCTGCTGCAAGTACCATCTGCTAAATCCATGCTAAATCTTGACTGAAGCACCATATTGCTTGGAGCTTCATCTGCTCTGAGTTCCATCTGCTCTGAGCTCTCTCTTCCTTACAGTTCCATCTGCTTAGAGCTCCAACTTCTCCGAGCTCCATCATACTCCAAGCAACGTCTGCTCCAACTTCCATCTTGCTTTGAGCTCCATCTTACTCAGAGCTCAAATAAGTCTGAGCTCCATCTGCTCCAAGCTCCATCTTGCTCAGAGCACCATCTTCTTAGAGCTTCAACTGCTCCGAGTTCCATCTTGCTCAGAGCTCCAATCACTCCGAGCTCCATCTTGCTCAGAGCTCCATCTGCTCCAAGCTCCATCTTCTTAGAGCTTCAACTGCTCCAAATTCCATCTTGCTCAGAGCTCTATCTGCTCCAAGTGCTGTATCTTGCTGAGAGGTCAAATCACTTTGAGCTCTGTCTTTCCTTTAACACCATCTTCACGGGGCTCCATCTTGCTTGGAGCTCCATCTGCTCTGAGCTCCATCTTGCTGAGTAGCATCTGCTCCGAGCTCTATCTTGCTCAGAGCTCCATCTGCTCCGAGCTCCATCTTGTCTGGAGGTCTAATCACTCTGAGCTCCCTTGCTCTGAGCACCATCTACTCAGAACACCGTCTGCTCGGAGCTCCGTCTACTCTGAGCTCCATTTGCTCCAAGCTCCATCTTGCTCAGGACTCCTATCACTCCAACCTCCATCCTGCTCTGAGCAGCATCTGCTCCCAGCTCCATCTTGCTTGGAGCTCTACTCACTCTAAGTTCCATCTTGCCCTGAGCATCATCTTCTCCGAGATCCAACATCTTAGGAGCTCCAATCACTTTGCACTCCATCTTACCGTGAGCAACATTGTCTCCGAGTTCCATCTTGCCCGGACTTCCATCTGCTCTGATCTCCAGCTTGTTGAGCTCCATCTTGCCCTGAGCACCATGTGCTCTGAGATCCACATTCTTTGAAGTTCCAATCTCTCTGAGCTTCATTTTGCCCTGAGCATCATCTGCATTTAGCTCCATCTTGCTCTGAGCACCATCTGCTCAGAGAACCATCTTCTTTGGAGTGCCAATCACTTTGAGGTCCATTTTGCCCTGAGCACCATCTGCTCTGAGCTCCATCTGCTCAGAGCTCCAATCTCTCAGAGCAATCACCCTGAGCTCCATCTCTCTCTAAGCACCATCAGCAGAGAGCATTATCTTTCTCAGAGTTCTAATCATTCTTAGGTCCTTCTTACTCTGAGCACCATCTGCTTGGAGCTCCATCTTACTGGGAGCAACATCTTCCGCGAGCTCCTTCTGTTCTGAGCTACAATCACTGAAGCTCCATCTTGCCCTGAGCACCATATGCTTGCTGCTCCATCTTATTCTAAGCACCATCTACTCTGAGCTTCATCTTGCTCCATCTACTCTGAGCTCCATCTTCCTCCATCTACTCTGAGCTCCAGGCACAATTTGTTCAGAGCTCCATCTGCTCCCAAAGGACAATTTTAAAATTTATAAACAAGGAAAAAACAATGAACCCAAAGAAAAGGGATCCTACAGATTGGGATAAAATTATAGAAAATCACGTATCCGAAAAGAACTGTTATCTAACATATGCAAGAAACTAAAGGTACTAAGTGGGCATAATGATAAAGCAACTAAAACCTTTATTTATCCAAACAACCTGCCTCTGGCATAAAAACAGAAAGGCTACCCAATGGACAGAATGAGGGGGTCCCACATGCCACCCAAATGAATGTACACTGAACGCATTTTTCAACACAACACAAAAAGACACAATGGGAAAATAATAAATGATTTTGAGCAAACTGGATAACCACATGAAAAACAGTGAAATAGGACAAAAATCGATGTAAATTACATTGAAGGCCTAAAGTCAATCTTGAAACCATTTACTTCCCTCAGAAAACAAAGGGTAAGCACATAGTTTAGAAGACTAATCTATGCACACAAGTTGCAAAATGTGAAATAGAAAAAGAAAAATTAGAAGGAAAAAACCATAGACGATCCCATAGATTGGCAATCTTTTTCACTGTCTTTAACTGCATAGTGAAGTCACCACTAATATGGAAACACGTGGAACTACGGAAAACATCGGATCTTATGCTGTGAAGAGGAAACAATGAACAGAAGAGAAGGTGCCTCACAGACTGAAAGAAAACTAGGGAAAATCCTGTCTTTGAAAGGGGTCGTTATAAAATATGTGCAAGAATCTAACACTACCGTGTGGGGGAAACAAAAACAGAAAAAGAAACAAACACCCAAGCTAAGTCTGGGCAAAGGACCTGAATAGACGTGTCTGCAAAGCAGATGTCAAACTGACTCACAGGGAAAAGAAAAGTCTCTCAAAAGCGCTAATCCTCACGAGAACGTCAAGGAAAACCGCACTGAGATACAGCTTCCATCCACATAGATTGAATGTTCCCTAAAACAGAAATAAAAGTGTTCAATGGAAACAACTAGTATAGACTTTCAGAAGGGGAAACTCTTCTCATACACTATTGGTGGGAATGTCAATGTCTACACACACTAGGAAAAACAGCTGGAAGTGCCTCAAACAAAGTAAAAACGCCATCTCATCTAGCCATCATTCCATTCCTATGTGGAAGAGATACCTGCCTTGCCCTCTGTACTGCAGTACTCACGACAGCCAAGATAGGAAATGCACCTACCTGTTCATCCATTGATGAAGGGACGAGGAAACTGCAATATACATCCAGAGTAGAATATTCTTCAATCATAGAAATGGGGGAAATCTCGTCACTTGCAGCCACATGGAAAAACCTGAGGAACATTATGTCAAATGAAATACACCAGGCAGAGAAAGGCATATACTGCATGATCTCATGCATGTCGAATCTAAAACACTTGACCTCACAGAGGTAGAAAGTTCAACAGTGGTTACCAGAGGCTGTGGGAAGGGGGGCCTAGGCAGGGATTGGTACTGGGTACAAAGTTACACTTAGAAAACAGATCAGTACTGCCCTTCTCTTCTATAACAGAGTGACCAGGGTTAATATTGTAGTGAATTTTCCAAACAGCTGGAAAGGATTCTGAGTATCACCTCCACAGACAAGTAATACCTAGAGGACTTCATAGATGCTAAATATTGTGATTTGATCAATATGCTAGGTGTACCCATATCAAAATGGCCCCTGTATCTTCTAGTTATATACATACACTCTAGGGTAATTTTTTTTTTTTTTTAAAGGATACCAATGATGCTAAAATTTACATGGAACCATGAAACACCCTGAATTTCAAAGCAACCCTGAAAATACAAAGTACATGGAATGCATCACTGTCCTCCATTTGAAATTATACTGAAAAGCCAGTTATCTAAACAATAGATGACTGGCACTAACCGAGAAACCCAGACCAACAGACGGAATGAGGGAGCTCAATGGCAAACCCAAATTCCTAGGGAGTGTACACGTTCTGTAAAAGAACACCGAAAGACACAACGAAGAAGGGGAAATCTGTTTAGAAAATGGATTTGAAAACTGGATATTCCTACGTAAGTAAAACAGGACCCCTATTGTGTAAAAAGACCAAGGTTTAACTCAAAATGAATTAGAGATTCATAAACAAAAGTTGAATGCATCAAACTCCTCCAATGAGAAGACATATGGTGTGGGTATATTTAGGTCAATGTGGATCTGTGCTCACAGTATGTCAAAACAAAATACAAAATACAGGGAAAAACTCATAGGTGATGAACTAGTTTGGTCATGATTCTGTTTTTCCTCATCAGTCACCTACATCAAAGGACAAGAAAACAGACACACATGGGACTGCATCATACGTTAGAGTTTGTGCCCAAGCAGATTCTTTAAAAATCCATAAATAAAATAAAAAATTATCCTGAAGTTTACAAGAAAGGTTTCTGCAAACCTACATCTGATGAAAGGTTGTCTTTCAACAAACACTACTTACTAGCAAAAACACAAAAGAGAAACTAATAACTAAACAAAATGGGGCCGAAGAACCTAAATAGACATTTCTTCAAAGAAGACGTAACATTGAAAACAAGTTTTAAAAACTTAAATAACATCACAAATCATGAGAAAGATGTAAATCAAAACAACACACATCATCTCACTATAATTCACATGGATGTTATCAAAGCAATAAAATACATTAAAAGAGACACAAATGCTGGTGTCAATTTCCACAGAGGAACTCATTTGGTAAGAACGTTAATCAGTATACAAACTACAGAAACCAGTGGGAGCTTGCTCCAAAAGTTTAACCTACACCTACCACTTCATCTAACAAGTGTACTACTAAGTATACTTTCAGGGCAAAAGAAATCAGTCCATGCAAGAGGCGTCTGCCATCCTATGTGGACTGCAGCACTATTCACAATTGCCAAGACAAAGAGTAGACTTACCTGCAGATGAAGGAATACTTGGTGGATGTACACAAACAGAATCGTCTTCAGCCAGAAAACCAGAATGAAATTTCATCATTTGGAGCCATATTGTTGAACCTGGAGGACATCGTGATATATGACGTAAGACAGGCAGAAAAAGAAAAACTAATTTAGAATCCAAAATAAAAGGCTTCACTGCACAGGTCTAGAAAGCACAATAATAGTTACTAAAGGTTGGAGGGAAGAAGGGGGATGGGCAGAGGTCAGAAATAGTCACAAAGTTACACTTAGATGAGAGGAATGAATCTCCTGTTCCACAGCCAAGTGACCAGAGGTTAACACAACATCACACCCTTTTCACAAAATCTGGGAAATTCCAAATGTTTTCACCACAAAGAAATTAACAACTGTTTCTGATACTAGAGCCTCTAAATATCCTGATTTTATCATTCATCTGTGTCTGCATTAATCAAAATGCCCCACTCTAAACTCCCCCCATTGTATACCTTTACTATATGACCAACCTTTTAAAAAACGATGTAAATACACAATGCTAACATTCATGTGGACCACAAAACACACTGAATTTCCAAAGCAATCCTGAGAAATCCAAACTACCTCGGTTGTGTCACACTTCCCGATGTTAAATTTCATTGAAAAGCTAGGGACCCCATTCCACACAGAGCAGTGGAACAGATTAGAGGACCCAGACATAAACCCTCACCCCTAACACCATCTGATCTTCAACAAAATCCACAAAAATAAGCTTTGGAGAAAGGACTCCCTCCTTTCAATACACGGCGCTGGCATAAATGACTAGCCAGCTGCAGAAGAAAAACATTGGGCCCCGTGTCTCACGGTGTACAGACATAAACTCAAGATGCATGAAAGATGTAAATGCAAGACCTCACATATGAAAAGCCTGCAAGAGAACCTAGAAACACCCTTCCTGACAGAGGATTTGGCACGGCATGGATGTGTCTCAGTCTCCAAAAGCAAGCGCAACTAAAACAAGTATTGCCCAGTGGCACCTAATACACAGAAGAGCTGCTGCACAGAAGAAATGACCAACAGAGTGAACAGACGGCCTGCACGACGGGAGAAAATGTTCCCACACATGCATCTGATGAAGGCTAATATCCAGGATCTACCTTAAAGATGTTAAATCAATCAGGAAAACAAAAACTCAAGGAAGAAAGGGCAAGAGGCAGGAAATCACGCACCTCAAAAGAAGGCTTACAGCAACCAACAGACATGACAACATTTCTCTACCTCAGTCATCATCAGAAAAAGACAAAGCAAAAGGCCCACGAGATAGTACTGCACACTGGCCAGAATGACGATTAGGACACGGTCCGCAAGAACGAATGCAGGCGAGGCAGAGAAGAGGGACGCTGCTCTGCTGCTGGTGGAAATGCAAACCAGTTCAGACACCATGGAAAGCAACGTGGGGATTTCTCAAATGACTTTCTCCACATCACGAATACTCACAAAAATGTCCATGAAAACCATGCTAACATTCCGTCTCCTTCCACTCACTATGAATACTACCAAAAACAAAACACACATTTTTGAAGGCGCCAGCCAGTGTAGACTTACAGAAAGGTAACCTCTTCGACACTATTGGTAGAGATGTAAACTAGTATACACACTATGAGAAACAGCAGGAGGTTCCTGAAAAACTTCACAGTACAACTACCATGTCAGCTGGCAGCGCCACCTCTGGTTCCACATTTAAAGCAGCTGAAATCCCTGGGCTGAAGAGAGCTATCTGCCTTCCATGGGTACTGAGGCACTTGTAACTGTGGCCAAGGTACAGAACCAACCTACCTGTCCACGCACAGCTGCAGGGATGAAGAAATTGCTGTACAGAAACACCACGGAGTATGTTCCAGCCATAAAGCTCTGGGAAATCCTGCCATCTGCAGCCTCATGAAGAAACCTGGAGAACATCAGGTCCAACGAATGAGCCTGGTAGACAAAGTCCCATTCCACACGATCTCAGGCATGCAGACTGAAAACATCTTCATCTCCTATAAGCAGAAAGTTCAATAGGGGTTACTAGAGGTCACTGGGAAGATGGAGAGGGTCTGGGAAGGAATCAGCAATGGGTAAAAAGTTACCCTCAGATGACAGCAATCAATTCTGGTCTTCTATTCCACAGCAGGGTGACTGGCCTTAACACAAATGTATCATATGTCTCAAAGTAGCTAGAAGAAAATATTCTGAATGCTGTTACCACACAAAAAAATCATAACTATTCGAGGTGAAGAGATGCTAAATAACCCAATTTGATCATTACTCAACATACACATGTATCAAAATCTTCCCTGTACCCTCTAATTATATACATTTATATATGGCAAATGGTGTTTTAAGATATATAAAGAAAACAATGCCAAAATTCTCATGGAAATGTGAAACACCCTTAATTTCCAAAGTTATCCTGAGAAACACAAACCATGTGGCATGTATCACATTCCCTGAGTTCCAATTAAATGAAAATCCCTAGTTAACCAACCCATATGTTACTGGTAAACACAGAGAAATACAGACCAGTGAGCAAAATGAGGGCGTTCAATAATAAACACAAATTTATATAGAGTGAACACATTTTTCAAAACACCAAAAAACTGACACAATGGGGAAGGTCTTCAAAACTAGGTATCCATTTGCAAAAGAATAATACATGACTCTTATGGTATGAAATACACAATAATCAACTGAAAAGGATTAAAGATTATACACAAAACTTACAACCATAAAGCTCCTATAAAGACAACCTCAGGTGCGCGTATATTTATTGCAACTTGGATGTATGCTCACGATTTGCAAAAACTAACAAAAATACAAGGAAAAGAAAATCATGGACAATGGACTGCTTTGGTAGTGATTTTGCTTTTTCTTGATTAGTAACCAACAGCACAGCTAGCCAAGAAATTGTACACATGTGGGGCCACGTCAAACTGAAGAGTCTGTGCCTAATAAACAATGAACAAAATGAAAACGCATACTAAAAATTATGAGAAAAGTTTGGGCAAACATTCAGTTGGATAAGGGGTTATTTTTGAAAAGGTACAAGCCAGTAACACTACCAGCTGGCCAAAAAAAAAAAAAAAAAAAAAAAAAAAAAAAAAAAAAAAAAAAAAAAAAAAAAAAAAAAAAAAAAAAAAAACAAAAAAAAAAAAAAAAAAAAAGCAGAAAAATAACAAAACCAAATAACCTGAAGAGATATTTGTGCAGAGAAGAAACCGATGCAATGTTTGCAGAAATGTGGTTACCATTACTATGCATGAGAAAAATGAAGATCAAAGCCACACTCAGATCTTATCTCACTCCAACTAGAATGAACATTAAAAACGGATTAAAATATTTTAAAAGACAACTTCTAGTATGAATTTCCACAAAGGAGAACTGTTTGTGGAAATGTAAATTAGGATTAACGCTGTAAAAAACAGTTGGGGGTCCTGCAAAGGATAGAAAAGAAAAATACCATACCATCTAGCATTCCCACTACTGGGTATACATTCAACCTACCTGTTCATCCACAGATAAAGGGATCACACTCTCGTATGCATACACTAGGGAATATTCTTCAGCCACCGAAATGATGAAACAGTGTCATGTGGAGCAACCCAGATGAACCTGGAAAACATTATGTTAAATGTAATGAGCTGGGCCAAGAAAGACAAACACTGAATCTTAAGATGTCTATCTTAAAGAGGTAGAAAGCGCAATATGGGTTACCAGGGTCTGGGAGATAGAGGGGGAGTAGGGATTGGTTATGGAAGCGAAGTTATCTTAACCTTAAAGGAATAAATCTGAGTGTTCTCCTCCTCAGCCTGGTGACTGGAGTTAACAATATTATATTTTTCAAAAGAATAAGAAAAGAGAATTTTGAGTGTTCTCGCCACACAAAAATAGTACCTTATGAGGGAATAGACATCCTAAGTACCCTGATTTGATCATTACCCAATCTATATGTGTGAAAATGTAACCCTAATTATGCACCTTTATGTTGCAAAACAAAAGTTAACAGAAATAAATACATCTTGCTAAAAATCACAGGGAACCATAAAAGCAATTCATATCTAAAGGAATCCTGAGAAATACAATCAAAGTGAGGACCCACAATCCTCGATATTAAACCACACCGCCAAGCTGCAGTTATGCAGCAGATATATGGTACTTGTATAAAAACAATACCTAGAACTGTGGACAAAAACGGGGAGGACAAAACAAGATCAACGCAAATATGAACACAGTCAACCCACTTTGATAAAGACCACCACAATGTGGAAGGCAGAGTCTGCTCAATGAATACCTTTGAGAAATATGATATCTGGATGCAGAAGAGAGAAACAGGACCCTGATTTTACATGATATATGAAAATCAACCCCCCACCCCCCCCGTCAAAAAACAAACAAAAAAAACCCCGAAGACCTGAACAAAAGATCATAAACGACAAAATGTTTTTAACTAAAACACAGGTTGAGCATATATTCTGGGTCACTTGAATCTCTGCTCACGGTTGCAAAGAGAAAAAGAAACAAACACCCTGGAAGAAAAACCTCACTGACAATTAAATGCTTTGTCACTGATAAGTATTTTCTTATATGGGTGACCAAAACTACATGCATAAAACGCAAAAATAAACATGGACTACATCAACCAGAAAACTTTCTGCACAGGAAAGAAACTACTTTCCAAATTAAAAAAAGCATCCTATAGATTAGGCAAAAATTTCAGGTAATCATGTAATTCATGAGTTGTCATCTTAGGTGTACACAAAAAATACCACAAAGTAGCAAAAGAATATAGTACTTCGCAAAGGACCTGAACAGACAATTCTGCAACATAACTATCCAACAAAGTTAACTGTGTGTGGTTTAACTGAAAACCACACACAGATAATCTCACACTTATTGAATATTCCTAGAAAGTTTTTTAAAAATAGGAGATGCCAGGCTCGGTGACTCACACCAGTAATCCCAGAACTTTGGGAGTCCAAGGGAGCAGATCACCTGAGGTCAAGAGTTTGAGGCCAGCCTGATCAATATGGAGAAACCCCGTCTTTACCACTGATACAAAAATTAGCCTGGCATGGTGGCGGGCCCCTGTAGTCCCAGCTACTCAGGAGGCTGAGATGGGAAAATTGCTTGAACCCGGGAGCGCAGGTTGCAGTGAGGCCAGATGGCACCACTGCACTCCAGCCTGGGCAGAGCGAGATTGTCTCCAAAGAAAAAAAAATGGACTTCCAACCATCATCCTGTGGGACTTGAATGTGTTTTGCCAGACTTTATGCTATCATTGCACCTATATTGAATGTCTTGGCCCCCATCCCGACCACTAAGGTGTTATTCAGTCAGTGGTTACAGGACACAATAAATCATTAACTAGTATTTAAACCCAATTTAAACCTAAGACCACCACCCTAACAACCAAATATATATATATACCCATTTTAAACCTTAAACACAATCCGTATTTTCTGAGGCAGATACCATAAAGAGACATCCCACTACTAACATTAACCACCAATACAAGTCCTATTAACTGAAAAACATATACGCCCTACATACCCTGTACACCAACAGATAATACTGCCCGTGGTTACGCCCCACATACCTCAAACCATGCCCTTCAGAAAACATACTTATACTAATATAGTAGTAAGTTAGATTTTAAATGTACATGGAACCATCACTGTATATTTAAGTATTTATCAAGTTAATGTAGCTTAATATTTAAAGCAAGACACTGAAAATGTGTAGACGGGTAATCATCACCCCATAAACACATAGGTTTGGTCCTAGCCTTTCTATTAGCTCTCAGTGAGATTACACATGCAAGCACCCGCAGCCCCGTGAAAATGCCCTCTAGATTATCAGAACATGAGGAGCGAGTATCGAGCATGCGCACATGCAGCTCAAAACACTTTGCTTAGCCATGCCCCCATGGGAAACAGCAGTGACAAACTTTCAGCAATTAACGAAAGTTTAAGTTACACTGACCATTAGAGTTGGTCAATTTCGTGCCAGCCACCGCGGCCATACGATTGACTCAAGTTAATAGAGCCTGGCATAAAGTGTTTAAGATTTTATTCCCAATAAAGCTAACCTATAACTAAGTTGTAGAAAACCCCAGTTATAGTGAAATATTCTACGAAAGTGGCTTTAGTGCTCTGAATGCACTGTAGCTAAGGTACAAACTGGGATTAGATACCCCACTATGCTTAGCCCTAAACCTCAATAACTTAATCAACAAAATTATTTGCCAGAACACTACAAGCAATAGCTTGAAACTCAAAGGACCTGGCGGTGCTTTACATCCATCTAGAGGAGCCTGTTCTGTAATCTATACACCCCAATAAAACTTACCACCTCTCACCCTCAGCCTGTATACCGCCATCTTCAGCAAACTCCTCAAAGATCGTAAAGTAAGCAGAAGTATCATCATAAAAACGTTAGGTCAAGGTGCAGCCAATGAAGTGGGAAGAAGTGGGCTACATTTTCTAAATTAGAAAAACTACACGACAGCCTTTATGAAATCTAAAGGCCTAAGGTGGATTTAGCAGTAAATCAAGAATAGAGAGCTTGATTGAAACAAGGCCATTAGGCACGCACACACCGCCCGTCACTCTCCTCAAACATCACACACAAAAGTACATTAACAATAAGCCACTACACACTGATATAGAGGGGATAAGTCGTAACATGGTAAGCATACTGGAAAGTGCGCTTGGACGAATCAAAGCGTAGCTTAAACTAAAGCATCCAGTTTACACCCGGAAGATCTCACAACAGATGATCGCTCTGAGCTAACTCTAGCCCAAACCTCCCTACAACTATACTACTTAAATACAGTAACCAAATCATTTACCTGTCACAAAAGTAGAGGCGACAGAAATTATACTTTAGGTGCAATAGACACAGTACCGTAAGGGGAAGACAAAAACCTAATAAAGCATAAAAAAGCAAAGATAAACCCTTCTACCTTCTGCATAATGAATTAACTAGAAATAACTTTATATAGAGAACTTAAACAACGCCCCCCGAAACCAAGCGAGCTACCCAAGGAGAGCTAAAAGAGCACACCCGTCTATGTGGCAAAATAGGAAGATCTGTGGGTAGTGGTGACAAACCTACCGGGCCTGGTGATAGCTGGTTGTCCAAGACAGAATCTTAGTTCAACCTTCAATTTACTTACAGAGCCATTTAATCCTCCCGTAAATTTAATTGTTAGTCTAAAGAGGGACAGCTCTTTAGACTCTAGGAAATAACCTTCAATACAGAGTAAAACATTCCACTACCATAGTTGGCCTAAAAGCAGCCATCAATTAAGAAAGCGTTTAAGCTCAATACTTAGTTACTCTTAATTCTATTCATCCCACTGAACTCCTAAAACACACTGGACTAATCTATTACTTAATAGAAGTAAGAATGTTAATATAAGTAGTATGAAATTATTCTCCCCGCATAAGGTTATCTCAGACCGAAACAACGTTAGTTAACAGCCCAATCATTACATACTACAGCTAAATTTACCCATTAACTAAACTGTTAACCCAACACAGGCATGCATCCAGGAAAGATTAAAAAAAGTAAAAAGAACTCGGCAAGCTTTATCCCTGCCTGTTTACCAAAAACATCACCTCTAGCATTATCAGTAGTAGAGGCACTGCCTGCCGAGTGACACATGTTTACGGCCCTGGTACCCTGACCCTGCAAAGGTAGCATAATCACTTGTTCTCTAACTAAGGACTTGTATGAATGGCCACACGAGGGTTTAACTGTCTCTCTTACTTTTAATCAGTGAAATTGACCTATCCGTGAAGAGGCAGATATACCTAAATAAGACGAGAAGACCCTATGGAACTTCAATTTAATAATGCAAACTAATACTTTAAAAACCCACAGGCATTAACCTACTGTCAATGTATTATAAATTTTGGTTGGGGTGACCTCGGAGTACAGCACAGCCCCTGAAAGACATATACCAAGACCTCACTAGTCTAAGTAAATCTACACTTATTGACCCAATAACTTGATCAACAGACTAAGTCACCGTAGAAATAACAGTGCAATCCTATTTTAGAGTCCATATCGACAATAGGGTTTATGACGTCGATGTTGGATCAAGACATCCTAACAGTGCAGACGCTACTAAGGGTTCGTTTGTTCAATGATTAAAGTCTTACGTGATCTGAGTTCAGACTGGAGAAATCCAGGCCGGTTTCTATCTATTAAATATTCCTCCCAGTACGAAAGGACAAGAGAAATAGGGCCTACTTCACAAAGTGCCCTCACAAATCAGATGACTATTATCTCAATCTTACAAGTTACTACTCCTACCCAAGAACAGGGCTCGTTAAGATGGCAGAGCCCGGTAATTACATAAAACTTAAAACTTTATGATCAGAGGTTCAATTCCTCTTCTTAACAACGTGTTTATAGTCAATGTATTTCTACTAGTTATTCCTGCCCTAACTGCTACTGCATTCTTAACACTCATAGAACGAAAAATCTTAGGCTATATGCAATTCCGCAAAGGCCCTAACGTCGTAGGCCCCTACGGAACACTCCAACCAATTGCCGATGCAATAAAACTTTTTACAAAAGAACCCCTACCCACC